ATTAGTTGGGTGATTATAAAAAGTGAAAAGTGTAGTTATTATTAGTTAATGTAATTTTGATTCATTGGTTGTAAAGAGTACAATATTAGATTTATAGCTTCAGTTTTACTTTTACCTAATGGTAATTAATAATATTAGCAAGGACCTTTCAGTTGAAGAAAGCTTTTACAACGTGCGTTGATATTTATTACCTTCTAAGGTTACCACAGAATCTCTGTGAAGAATAAAAGACAATGGTTGTTAGAGGCTACCAAAATTGACTATTCAGCACACACAGTGTCTTCTTGCTGATGGAGGCTTTTATTTTTATCTGTAGATATAAAATTTAGAATGCAATAGTTGAAATTAAAAATATTCATTGTAGTGCTTCTTCCTGTGGACCATTTCATGTTATTTCCTAATGAAATAGTAATATTTGTACAAGGTGATTCTGACAATTTCAATACTTTCATTTAACATGTTTCCATATGAACAAAACCATTGCAATACAGCCAGAGTAGTCCAACCTTTACAATGATGTCTTAAAACTGAAATAACATTAAACTGAGGTAGCTGTTTCACAAATCATTGTCCATGCAAAATTATTTTCTATATTTAGCTTTCCCTTTTTACATCAGATAAAACACCAGCCCTGGATATCTGTTCTCATTAACTCCTTTTTCTGAACTTTACATTTTCTTTTGGTAATTCTTTAGAATTCTCCCTGAGATTTATAGGAGTTTCATTCTATTAACATTCCATCCTGGATGGCAGAGCAAAGTGAGGCCCTACCTTTCCCAAAGGAGGGCAGTTAATGGTTGCTGTGGGAGGGAGAGTCATTTTCTTCAAAGGTGTAGCCACTGGTAAATTGCTCTTGCTCTAGTAAATAATCCCACACCTATGCTCATGCAAATAACCTTAACTAAACTCAGTAGATCACACACAATATAAACAAAAACAATACATAACGAGTAACAACAACAAAAAAGCCCCCAACCAAAACAACAACAGTAGGAAAGGAACTTGTTGGAAGAAGAAAGGGTCAAGTCAGATTGGGCAAAGGATGAGAAAGGACAATGGGTGGTGAAATGGTCATTTTCTTTTAAAAATTCAGAATTTAAACAACACAATAAAGGATAGTAAGAGGATAAGCTTATGTCTTTTGGTTGTGTTCTCGATTAGTATAGCCAGGATCTAGTCATGGATCTAGTGAGGGCAGATGAGATATTCAGATGCCAAAATGAGACCAAAGTGAGAAATGACAAATGTTTATATGGTATAAGAAGCTAATGCTGCAATTGAAAGACTTTCTTCCATAAAAATATATAACAAAACATAATTATATATAATTAAAAATGCATATCTATCTTTGTCTCCAAAGCCAATTCTCTATTTTATCACAGAACTTAACTGGTCTTCTCAATCTCATTTCTTATAGCAGCAACTTTATCCATACAGGAACTCCTTCAGGGTGTCAAACCAAGCCACTACTGCATGCTTTTCAAAATTAGGACAAGATTTTGCTATGTGCAATAGGCTGCCCTCAAGCCTGTCATCTTTCTGCCTCAATCTCTCAAATGATGGGCTTCTGGGTAAGCACCAGCAGCAGCCTTCTTCTGCCATATTTTTGAATACAACTCTCTCTAAATAGCATTTCCCATCCTTTGTTTGGAGATTAGAACCATGGTCAGGATATAGTATGATCAATCTAAGTTGAATTTCTTCAAGGTCTAACTTTAGTAAGGTTCAACTTCTTAAAAATCTTTCCCAATGTATAAAGAAATAAAAAAAATGTTTTCAAATATTTTTCCGGACATCAGGTAAGTGTAGGTGTACCTGTCTAGGTTTCTACTTTGGACACGGTGGCTATGGTGCTATGTGTGCTCTCTGGAACTAAATTCCACCTCTATCCTAAGTATGTTGTCATCACTTTACTGAAAGTACCTGATGGGTGTTTAATAAACAATTTCCAAGTTAATTCAGTTTAAATGTAATATAAAGTTTAAATATAAGACTTTAACTTGCATGTATATGTGATTTTAATAATATTTTCACATATGTAGAACAGGAATAGGTCAACACAAGACATAGGGAGATATGGAGAATTGCTTTCATACTCTCAGGAAATAATCAAAATAGGCAGGTTAAAAAATACAAACAAATTGAAATCAATAGGGAATAGTACACTGAAGATTTCCTTACATTTAGCGATATACAGATTACTTTTACTATACAATATCCCAAGAACTGTAATGTTTCAATTTACTTAAGGTGCTAATTATACTCCATTGATCTCATTTTTATTCTTCGTTGGAATTAACCCATGCATCACGATTTTATGTAAGAGATACTAAAGACTGCATTTTCAATTAATGTGTCAGAAATCAAACCTATCTTAATTTATAGGTATATACAGATGTACAATTCAAAGTTTCCAAACTTCTCTTTGTGGCAATGTTTTATTCAATATAAGAGAACTTTTCATAATGTGGAGATGTTGAAAGATGATATAGGCAAATTAAATGAGATAACTAATGTTCACATACAGAGAGAGAGAGAGAGAGAGAGAGAGAGAGAGAGAGAGAGAGAGAGAGAGGGAGAGGGAGAAGAGAGAGGACAGACTCAGTTCATAGATGAAAGGATTCCAAATAGTACACAACATCCATATAATTCTAACATTCAGGGAGTCTGAGGCAGGGTAATTACTAATTGAAAACCAACCAGAGTATAGGGTAAAACCACTTGATTGCAAACATCACAACCTTAGTTCAGAGCATCATAAACCATGTAAAAGCGTGATGTACATCCAAGATGCTTCCTGGAAATGGGGGTGGTGGGGACAGAAACAGGATACTCTCAGATGCTCCCAGGCCAGCTAGGGCCAGCAGCAGCAAAGAGATCCTGTCTCAGGTAAAATTGATAGGCATGGGCTAGTCCCCAAGGTCCTCCTCTGACTTCTACACATATGCCTGTACTTGCCCCTGCCCCAATTAATGAACTGGCTACTATGTAAAGACCGTATTTAGGAACAATAGCACTTAACAGCAACAAACTACAACAACAAACAGTCATTACTTTACAGTAAGACTTTAAAGAAGTACCTCCTTATTTTAAAAAGTTCACTTTCTGAACATTTTAAATAGTCAGTGTCAGAGCCTAAAGATGCAGAAAGTTTCATCCCTGAGCTTTATGTGAGAAACACACTTCAGTTTGGTTAAGACAGTAAGAGAAAAGCATATACACAGATTTGAGATGCACAAACATACATGTATTTTAAGTAATACAAGAAAGCTAAGACATTTTCTTCCAAGTAATTTCCAATTGTTTTTGAAAGAAAGATGAAAAATCAGAACACAAAATTGTTTACTCCCTATTCATACTTAAAAAAGAAATATAGCCAATTTTCAATTTAATTGTTCAGAATTTTATAATTTCTCAGGATTATAACCTACATATGTATAATGTATATATAAATATAGGTGATATAGGAGATCATGAATATCTTTGACTTCAACCTGACTTAAACTATTTTGAGAGGAAGTTTATTAAATATCTGACAATAAAGTATTTAGGTAATTTGATTAGTCTGCATTTTCAGCACAATTTGCTTTTAAAAAGCCATGTAATCAAAGCTGTACTATATATCAATCATGGCTGCAGGAAAAATGTGAACTCATGTACTAATTAATATTCTATTATGGCTTATAACCACTTATAAGATGAAACAAATTTTTATTTATGAACTAGTATAATTCAAATGAGTTATAATACTATAACTTTTTAAGCATTCCTTTAAGATTTGGACAAAATAAAATCTGAATTTGCATTACTTTTACATTCTGTCACAAACTGTGGGACAGCTTCAGAGATAAAGTCAGACACAGTTCTAAACAAATTATCTCCAAAGGATCAAACAAAACTAATATCACTATGGATAGGCAAGTGGGACCAGAGAAGGAAGCTAAAAAAAATGACAAATTCAATATGTAATAAATCACTGCTGTTACCTACTGTCTTCACCAGTGCAACAGACTGTCACATCAAAACAAGACATAGGTGGAGGAGAACAATATGAAAAGAATTTCTTTAGCCCCCCCAAATCTTCATATTGTTATATTAAACTATATTATAGATCCTAGTGATGTTCCTTTAAATATACATATAGAAACAAAAACAACATTCACAAAAGAAAGGATATATGATAATGTTGCATAATAGCTCAGGAAAATTCCACCAGTAGTTAAGAATAAACCTTTGAAAACTCCTTAAACTACAGAACATGATTCTTGCCAAGATTCCATTTAAACAGTATGACTCTAGGCTTCTGTTATTGCTGTTCTTGCACACAGAATTAATAATTTTTGTTTCTAGGGAAAACAATTGTTTGAAAATTGTGTAACCACTAACTATAACAAATTTGGCAATCTCATTTTTATTTTCACAGATCATGTTTAGAAGAAAACTGCAAAATGTCAGATTAACATTTCAGAATGTATTTGAAAGTAACGAAGGGAAACTGATTTAGTTAGCAACGCTAAATAAAACAGACAATTCCTACAGATGCTTTCCCTGTAAGACATTAACTAAACAGTGAAAATAGCAACCATTGTAATTTAATAAACCAACCCTTAACTTACTTCTCTGTCTGAGTAAAGTTTCAGCTTGACAAGAACCCTGGTGTTTTAGGCAAGTGTTTTTCTGGTCAAATATATATGCATTTTTAGAAGCTGGGGGTATTGAATGGAATCACAAATGGGTTTTCTTATTGCCTCTTCCTTCTTTCCTTCTTTCCCAAATGCTGAACTATATCAGGCTGAATAAAAATAACTTTATTTTTTTTGTTTTTTAATTTTATTTTTCCAATTTTTTGTAATTATGTTTTTTAGTTCAAATTAGGAACAAGCTTGGTTCACATGTCAATCCCTTCTTCCTCCCCTCTTCCCAACCCCCCAGCTGCCCCCTACCCCATCCGCCCTCCACTCCACAGAGTAGGGCCCTCCATAGGGCTCCTTATAGTTCACCACATCATCCTGGGCCGGGCCTGGGTTCTCTCCCATGTGTCCAGTCCAAGAGTGCATCCCTTCACGTGGATGCACGTGTAAGTCCCTTCTAACACCAGGGAAAAATACTAACCCCAGTTTGTCAATATCAAGTACAAATGCTAAGAAGGCTTCATTTGGACTCACAAGAGTGGTAAAGCACACTCAACTTACTTGCCATTGTTTCATCAGTTCTCTGACTCCCTTGGAGTCTTCTAGCAGTTTCTCCTTCCTGGAAGCATCTTGGAGGACATTGGCAGTTGTTTCAGCTTCTGTAATCCAGGAAAGAAACTTCTCCAGGTCCAGAGGGAACTGTTGCAGTAACCTATGAGTTTCTTCCAAAGCACCCTCTCGCTCACTCACTCTGTAAAAGACAAATAGGCAGATGTGATTCACAATTATCAGTACGGTACATGCAACGAACTCAGTAAAATCAGCAAAGATGGTGTGTTGATGAAGCTCTCCATTTAACCTACAACCAGAGTACCATGGTCTTTGCTTAATACTCATATCTAGTTAATCTAAAGTCTTCTTCTCGGAGGACAGCATGCAAGTGGAGTGATTAAAAATAAACAATGGGCTGGGGATGTGGATCAATGGTAGAATGTTCACTTACTAAATTGAAGGTCCTAGGTTTAATCCTTGGCCACTCCCTCATAGATTTATATTGAAATGGACACACACACACACACACACACACACACACACACACAATAGATATATATAGAGAAAGAGAAAGGTAGACTTAAGTTGGGAGGTGAATACTAGAGATAGATTGGAAGGTACAGAGACAAAAATATTTTTACAAAGGCATTTCATAGAAACAATTGTCCAAACTATCATCTGGCTAGACAGTAGCTTATTAAAAGTATTTTGTTAAGTTCATACTGTATTACCTCGTGGTTGTAGACTAAGGATAGTATCCAAAAATAAAATGTTGCATCAAGTTGGAAAAGTAGAAATTTACAAATCAGACAAATAGTGATTCAGTTCCCAATATCCTTTACCACTTGTGTGATATGGCTTTCTACTAATTTCTCTGATTTTTCATTTCCTCTTCTTCATTAGCTACTGCTATGATGAGCATCAAACTTCACATATTGTGACTACTTATTATTGTTAATAAAAATGTTAGTTTTCTGCCTATACCCCATTTTATAATTTCCAAATTTAAGAAAAAACTGAAGAAACAAAAATGCCTTATGAGAATTTTTTAAAATCATACTTTCTAATTACATATACATATATGTATGTACAATATATATTTATACATATATATTGCATATAATGTGGATATACATACAAATGCCCTGAGCAAAGATTTGTATAATAATAGCTCAGGAAGGAAAATTGCCTTAAGCAGTAACAGTCCCATCTAAAAAAAATTCAGGTGAATTTTGTCTGCAATGAGGAAATTAGTACTCTATTTAAATGCCTTATTTGCCTTCTACAACTACACAAACACTTTCTGGGACTAAACATAAGCTAAAAATGGATTTAAAAAATTGAACACTTGAATATGATACACACTGCTTGTTAAGATGTGATTGTCAATAATTATGCAAAACTGCAATTTATTTTAGCAGCAACTTTATCACGGGATGTGCAAAGCAGGCAATAAACAACTCCTGCCGAGCTGGCTGCAGCAAAGCCCCCAGCAGAGCTGTTTATTCATCATGGGTGAGGTTTTTGCTGAGCACACAGTCTTTCACAGTGTAGTCTCAGCGCTCATACTGGATAAAAATCTTCTGTCTGCATTAACTGGTAGAGGAGAGAGTAGGTTTATGAGGATACCACTATCAGAAAAACATGAGCATTGCACTAAGCTATTTATAAACCCTGAAATAAATGTTAATATTGTACAAGTAAAAGGTACCACGGGGTTCATTCTAGTTGGACAAAGTGGATAAATCTGGAACAGCTGCAGGGCTAACCTGGACTGGTGGTTTCCCTAGTTTGTAGGCAAAATGTCAATCCAAACAGAAATACCCAAATTGTTGTCTGTTTCTTAGAATTTTGAAATTCAATGCCATTACCACAGCTCTAGGAATCTGAACATGAACGTTGGGCATGTAATCCAGAGGGAAGCTCTCGAGTAAGTGCTGGCAATCTCCTGTACTGCCTTGCAAAAAAGAGGCAGTTTCCTGCAGGTTTTTCTGCCTCCAGCCTAAAACTCATGATAGAAATAAACTGTCCCATTCTAGAAGACAAACGCTGGCTAAGACAGACTGATTTTTGAATATAGTCCAATTTCAGACACAATAAAAGGACAATGTGAAAGTCTCCCATGGCAGAAGGCAGAATGAAGTTGAAGAGATTAGATGCTGTGCATTTTATTCTCAGTGCCATCTTCATGCCGAGGGGCACTGCATCTATCTTGACTCCTCTGCTCTTAAACTGGAAACACCACTCACCTTCTGCTTCCATATCAAGTAACTAGTAAATAACCTCCAAAGTGGTATTCAGGAAGCCAGATGAAAGGACTCTATCCAGACAATGTGACTTTCAGCCAAATCCTACCAGCAGTTTTCTGCTTTGTAAATTAGGCCCTTAGGGAAGCAGAGGAACATTTTCAGGACAGTAAGGCACCATTTTCTTCAAGGAGACCCTCGTAGTCTGAAATATTGACAACATCAGGTGGAATATTTTATTATTCAGGAAATCCTGTAAAAAGAATTCAATGGAAGCAACAGCAGACACATCTCTTCAAATGGGCTATTTTCCAAAGCTGTTGGATCACAGATCAATTGTTGTTTCCTTCTTGGGGGGGTGTTAATGATTACAGACTTACTCCTGGGTTCAAGGCATGTACATTGAACTCAAAAGATTTAATTGTGTCAGAAATAAGTCAAGGGTACGCAATTTCCATATTTGTGCATTCAAATTTGGTCAAAATGTATCCCCTATTTTTCATTTTTCACAACCATATGGCTTTGGATACTTATGTGATAAATAAAAAATATAAAAATAATGAGAATCATAAAGACATAAAAGATTGGCTGAGGAAAAAATACTGCAACCATTGATTATTTTAAAGTTTCTCTATTTAGGACATGCAACACTGAGGACCCTGAAGACAATTTCACTGGATTTTAAGTGTAATAACAAGTATATGTAAGAAATTGTAAAGTATTTTAAACTGTAATCTACTATATTAAACTGTAATCTACTCTAAGTGCTTTCTATATAACGAAGCTTAATTATCACTATTCTAAGTTTATAATGCATGAAAATGCCAGGAATTTGATGGAATAAAGAATTGGTGATTTCTAAAGGTTTACTTTCTAGTGCTAAGACCTCCTCTCTTAGCACATAAATAAGTGTGGTGTGGTTTCAAAATATGGTTCATGGACCAACAGTCACAGCAGCAGCATCTGAGAACTTATTAGAAATGCAAATTCTCAGGCCTCAGGCTAGATCTACTGAAAGAGGAACTCTGTGGGTGGAGTCCAACCAGCTGTGTTTCAGCAAGCCTTCAGGGCATTCCAAACACATGCTAAAGTTTGAAAATTACTTCTGCTGGGGACAAAACTTTGAGAAGTACTGTGTAAGTAGACGCTGGGGTGTGCTGTTCAGATCCCTGATTGAGACTGCTGGATTTCTTGCCCAAGTTTCTGGGAGTTCTGCTGGCTGAGGGTTCTCATATGTCAGCATTATTTGAGAATAGGAAACAGTTAAAAGAGCCCCCTAAATCGGGTGTTGGTGGCTCACGCCTTTAATCCCAGCACTAGGGAGGCCTTGGCAGGCGGATCTCTGTGAGTTAGAGGCCAGCCTGGTCTCCAGAGCGAGTGCCAGGGTAGGCTCCAAAGCTACACAGAGAAACCCTGTCTCGAAAATCAAAACAAAACAAAAAAAGAGCCTCCTGCTCCAAAGTTGCTCCATTCATCCCTGAAGCAGGCAGAAGCCATTGTGATACCAAAACAAGAACAGGAAGAATACACCATGCACGTTAATGGTTGACCAAAACAGGAAAAAATATACCTTCAGGTCAAGAGTTCTGTTTGCAGTTAAGGCAATTAAGACTAAGTTCCTGTTTGTCCTGTTTGTTTGACCCATCCATACCAGATGTGCTTGATCACACATGGGCTGGAAGTATGTGGGCAGGAAATATGTCAGGATGTGCACTTGCCCTTGATTGGATGTAAGTAGAAGATGCACAGGCAGGAAGTATGTTAGAAGATATGCTTGCCCCTGATTAGACCTGATTGGAAATATGGTGGTCGCAGCTTTGCTTTTCTAAGACCCTGCAAAACTTGACTCATGGATATTTCCTGGGAATCCATCAGTGGACCCAGCCAGAATCCATTATCCTGGCCAGCATTTAAATTAAAACTTGCTTCAAATTTGGTTTAAAATTGTTGAATGTCTTTTTCTCAAGGATCTCAAGATTAACAACATGCAGTGGCTTACATTTGGTATCTGATATGTCTGGCTCTAGTGCATCAACTCAGGAGAATCCTAAGGGACACCCTGGTTCCTCATTTGGGGTAGGGTGGAGCTTAGACAACTGTCAGCAGTCAAACTCATTCAGCCGGGCTTCTAGTTCTGCTTATGCTACTTAACTTTCCTTCCATCACAAGTGTCAAGCCACAGCACACTTCTCAGTAAAATTCTGAACATTAATTGCTTTCTTCGAATTTGCTTTCTGGAAAACTGAATGTATGGGAAAAACTAAACACTTTCTCATACAGATTGTAATCTCCAAAAGAGATGATGGGGTTCTGAAATATCAGCTAGTAAAAGGAGTGTTTGAAAGAAAATTCTGGAACTATGCAACATAATGCAAAATTAGATCAGCCCCCCAAAATGCTTATGAAATCACAATGCTGAGTAAAGGTGACAAATCACAGAAATTGTGTCCCCTGTAGTCATTAAAATACATTTATCAATGCAGTAAGTAACCCTTCTGTTATTTTATACATACACATACCCTCCTGTGTGTTCACAGACATACACATACGCATTGCTTTATGTGAATAAATCTCTAAGCCTCCACAAAATCTATGAAGCTGAAATCATAATTTTGATGTGGGATAATTTTAATATATAAAAACAAAGGACAAAGGGAAAGGAGAATCTTTATTTTCCAAGATACGGGTGAAGACTTTAATGTGAATTGGAAATATGGGTGGAAAAACTTTCTCGATGAATTATATTTATAGATAAAAATTATGTGTAATTGAACGAAATAAATGAAAAGGATGAGGGGGTGCAAAGATTCTGTCATAGATAAGAGAGATGCTCATGAAGCTACACCCCTGCCTTGGGAGCTACTGACAGTTGAAGGGATACTGAGGGAGGGAATGTTGCTTTCTTCAATAGTATGGTCACTGAGAATTTGCTCATATTCTAGTAAATAAACCC